ACACACACACACACACACACACACACACACACACACACACACACAGACAACCCCGTGACGATATGCTTTTTGTACTGCTGTTACACAGCACAAAACGCATAAAAAAACAAGTAGCAGCACACACCACGAAATACCACGTGTTCATATGCGTGAAATGTAGGCGTTCATGCGGGCTGGTAGATTTGAATTTTCTGTTCGCTTATGAACAGAAAATATTCTGCAATAATTTTCGTTTTCGCTTTTCGTCTAGTTCCTGAACTAAAAATTCCACAGGTTTCACTTATTCGTACCTGTGACATAAGTGTAACGAAAGCCGAGTTTGAAGTTTCAGGATTGTACATTTAAAAGCATCATAGTAGATTTTCACCGTTCCATTTTGCCTGTTTCCGAGTCAGAAAATTTCGTGACAAAACTTCCGCACATCTGTACATGAGATTTAAGCATAAGTGGAAGTTGAATTTAAGTTTTTGGGATCGCATATGGGTTTGAAATTTTTCCTTAAAATTATAGCTTCATGGTTTTTATGATTTTCGAATTAGTGATTTTTTCGCCACAATTTTCGTCTATCCGTACGTGAGATATGAATGTGCTTGTATGTTGAATTGAAACTCGCTGGGCACAAGTGAGCTGAGAACATTCTCGTCAAATTTCAGCTTCCTAATTTTTGCGGTTCATTAATTTAGGCGCCAAAATTTTCATGTGCCTGGATGTGAGATCCAAGCATACGTGAGGGCTAAATTTAAACTTACGGAGCCGCAAGTTGGCGGGGAACGTTCTTCGAAAATTCCATCTTCCTAGTTTTGTGGTTCCTAAGTTGAAAATGCAGAGCAAAACGCACTGGTACACATACAGACATACATATACGCGGGAGCGTGACCTTGTGCAGTTGTTACACAATATAAAACACATTAAAATGACTTGCTGCTGGCTGAAGGTTAAGATTTAATGGTGACCGGTAGGCGTTTTATTTCTTAAATATCACTTAAGTCGTAAGGAGGGAGCCATCAGTGGCACTGCCTGTAGATGGTTGCCATTGTTACTATTGAGGAAGCTTTCTCCCTAAAGGAAAAATACGGAAGGAGATTCGACTTTTGTCCTTGAGACATAAGCAGTGGTCGGGAAAATGAGGAGTGTAACGTTGCTCTGTGCTGAAAAACGAATGAAAGGCAAGAAGACGAATACCAGGATTATCGCTGAGCGTAAGGTGATGCCAGGGCAGCCGTGGGAAGGTTACAAGCTAGTTTGTTTATCAATGGCGTGGAAGTGCGCTACGATAATAAGACGGCAACTGCTAAAGGCATTAGTTTTGGGTATTAAACCACTCCCATTAATCGGTTGACTTTTTTGAAATTTTTTTTTCATGTTTTTCCATTTTGCTTTTTTCAGAGCCCTAAATTAGAGGACGATGAGAAAACATTGCCTACTATTGTTACGAGCGCTGGAGGTGCTGGAAAACCGGCGGAATTCGATGTGAGTTTTTTCTCACCCTTCCTCTTCCCTTCTTTTGTCTTCTCCCCTACGTTCTTCAACTCCTCACTGCACACACAAAAGTGGAAGATTATGATTACGCAACCTAAAAAATGTTCAAAATCCTTTTAAGCGAATCCTAATCCTTTAGTGGACAGAGTTATTGAATTATTTTCTGTTGCACAAAAGGATCATTTAAGAATGAGGACTAAAAAATAGTAAATAGCGGTGCGCATCAGGGTAGCTGTTGCGATCATGCGTTTTGCGCAGTCCGACCCACCCATATTTGTTTGTTAAAAATTTCCACTGTTTTGAGCTTTGATCTGTGCAAAAATAATCAATATGCTGTTTGCTCCCTAAGCTGCGAAATTTCTCCTTGAAAATTTCTCGTACCGGCACGTGAAACCCAAGCGTACATGAAAGCCGAATTTGAAACGCTGGGCGGTGAACACCCTTCCAAGGTTCCAAGTTTAGCTTTTACGTACCGTACATGAAATCTTGGAATTTCACAAAATTTCACATATCGACTACTGCACAAACAAAAGCGTAAAACAGTGGAAATTCTTAGCAGGCAAACGTCCAGAGGGCGGAACTCTGCAAAACGCATGATCGCATCGGCTACCCTGGTTCGCACAGTAATTTGTTAGAAACGTAAATCTCATTCAGCTACACCAATTTGCGTTCCCCCCCTGCGCTGCATTTCATTTGGTAACACAACATTTTCAGTATCTTCAAATTGTTGAGCGCGAAACACGATAGTTTAATGATGCCACACTGGACTAGAATCAATTAAGAAAAAAAAAATTCCCTTTTTTTATTTTTTTAGTTTCCCCGTTTTTATGCGTTTTGTGCTGTGTAACAGCAGTACAAAACGCATATTGTTACGGGGTTGTCTG